ATTATTATTTAATTATATGTAATTTAATTTGAATTTCCAATAAAATGTTATCTCTTGAAGTACTCTAAAGCTGTTTTAAGTCTGGGACATTTGATATTTCTTTTTGTTAATCTTTTTTTAGAGACAGGTTATACCAGAGTCATGCCTTGTCCTCTACTTTGTCCTTCTGAAATTCCTTTCTTGCATTATTATAGGAACTCTTGAAAGCACTTGAGAATTACTTTTGCAATATCAATTCCCTGTAGTCCAAAAATTTCACAAGGGCTTCTATAATTGAGTTTCCAGTGGTAACTGTGTGGTACCTATAAATATTCATAAAGTTGTTGTCTACCAATATGCACATTGTCTCTTTTGTAATTTGGTCAGGAAGTCCATGTCACTGTGTGATGAACACCTTACAGAATAGCCTCTAAGTCTGAATGACCTTTAATGTTGCCTCTGATCTAGTTGACCTTTCCCAGCATATAATAAGGGTGCAATAAAGGCATAGTAAAAAATAGGTATGACATGGGTTGGCCTGAGAAAATTGCTTATTTCCTGGCCCCAGTCAGCTGCCATGGCTCCATGAGCAAAACAGAAGTGAGTGAGTATCTGAATTCAGTGGCTTTGTGTAAGGCAAAAGGTGTCCACTGCCTATCTTCATACGATGGAAATACTGGTTTTGTAGAAGGTGCTTGACAAATTCATTTAAATAGATATTTAGTTATATTGAAATAATAAACCCCCCAAGTTATTTTTGTTTGTTTGGGGGGAGTTGTTCTGGGGAAATCTAGTATGCAGTGGTAAGATAGAATAATTCATATATCTATTATCCGAATGTATATAGAGCAGAAGTAATGTTAAGGATAAAAAATAATAAAAAAAAACAATGATGCATTTAGAAGGTAGAATAAACCAGCTCCAGATTGACACTTCCCTCTGAAAAATAAAAATGGTGTCCACATATGGCTGCTAGGCTAAGACAAAGGGCCAACAGCCTTAGAGGATAATGCTTTCTTAAAATGATCAATTGTTTTGGATGGGTACATCAGCACCCACCCATCAGTAAATGGTAACTTGTATTTAAACAGCAAAGATGACAAAAGAAGAAAAGGAGATGAAATTGTTCTTCCAAATTTGCATAATCCTTCATGGATTTTAAGGCAAATACACTGGAGCAAAGAAATGTGGGAACACCTCTTTGAAAGCCAATGCCTTATGTGATGATAATAAACTAAGGACTGAAGGAATGGCAAAATGAATAACAAACTTTGAGTGAGGTATACAAAAAGAGATGGCACAAAAGATATAAGGCCAAGGTTGGGGTCTTTTACAGGATGATTTCTCTACATATCAGAGGAAGAAAAGATCTGTAGGGATGTATATTTTAAATTCAGTGTAACTACAGCTAAAATTACCTAAACTATTGTTTTCCCAGAGTCTCAGATAAGATACAATGGCTCATTCTGCGCTGTGATGTCTAAGGAGGTGATGCTGATGTTTACTTATATCATTCTACTTATATTATTTACTTACACATTTACCTTTGTAATATTTGTTTCACACTTGCCCAGAAAATGAGGGACTTGGGGGTTAACCCTGTCTCAGTCTGAGAGAGATAACTCAACATCTGTAGAAAATTCCTTATATACCAGGATCTTGTTTTTGTCCTTCTGGCTCTGATTATCCCATTTCTTTCTCCCACATGGGCCAGCTTCAATGTCAGGGATGAAGGGGGCACTCCTTAAATGAGAAGCAAGGTATCTTTTATTGGACCAACTTTGTGCCCAAAAGATTATCTAACTTTTTTTCCAAACTATAGACTCGGTCAAAGAAAACAGATCACTCCAAAAAAACTTTGCTTCTCACATATTTTTTTGCTCATCACAACAATACTCCAACTCTACTCCTTAAGCAGAGAATTTCACCTGTCTTGGGTTGTCTAAATTTAACAAGTGTTAACCTCAAAAAAGAGGTAGTGCACAAATAGTGACTAGAAATTTTCCTTCTTGGGATTCTCATTTAAAAGATACAGAATAAGGAGTCTTCTCCCATTACGTTTGTCATTACATATCAGAAATACCAGTGAAAATAGTTTCTGGAAATATTCTATTGACATTTCTGACAGATAATGATGTATCCACAAAATTGAAGATATCATTAGAAAATTATGCTGGTAATATTAGCTTCATTTTTTTACATTGGGAAATTGGAAACACTATACTTTATTTCAGGTTGTCTTTTGACCCATATATGAACATTTCATTTTTTCCAGCCAGAATCACATTTTTTCATTCTGAGTCAATTCAAAGTTAATGCTTCTCCTCGTGAACTGCCATGACACCATGTGGGAGTCACCTCGGGTGCATCATGTACCCAGTTCTTTTGTGTGCGTTGCCTGCCTACCTAGTTTTCCAGAATTCTGTTTTGCCCTTGGCACCTTAGTGGTAGTTTTCCAGCTGTATAAATAGTATTTTTTCCACTTACACACATTATCTAGTCCCCTCTCCCACGCCCTTTTTGAAGCTGAGGTACTGCACCTTGTGTATAATAGTCATTGGATAAAATCATGGAGACCAGTGCAGAAGTTTCTGTTCTTTTAGGAGAAGTGGTTCAGTCTAGAACCTATGACTCCAAAGCGGCATCCAGTTCACTGAAGCAGATATCCTTTAGCTTGTGCTTTTCCACATATCTCCCTTTCTTGTTCAAGAGAGGGACTGGAAAGGGCACTGGTAGCTGCCTAGCCTGCGGAACAGTGATTAAAGACTGTACTGAGAAGTTATAGACAGGTAGGTTTAAAACTCTTCTGCATAAGTGGACCCTAAAATCCAGGGATCTTGCTTTCTGGGTGAATGCCCTAATCACAGATTTATTGAACTAAAAGCATTGGAGGGCCTTCCTCCTTCTGTATCTGACATCCATTAATCATACTTGTTTTATTTGGCTATACTTTCATGGATTCTATACACTTATATGTCCTCACTGGGCATATACATGTGGCCAAGTATGTAAATGGCCAGTGTAACCTAGTGCGCATAGTCCCTCTACATATGTACGTTTGAGTGTGCACGGTTCAGAGGTGCACTGTGGACCTATATCTAAGTGTTGGAGAAGGAATTTACATCATAGGAAAACTGCCATGTAAGTACACAAAGGGAAATATAATCCCACCAATATCTCTGTTTTAAGTTCTTTACTACATCAAGAGGAGTTCCATGACCATCATGCATCATGAGAGATGCAGTTTTGCTGGATATTCCAGCCGCTAGAAAAGAATGAGGAAAAAAGCTTCTAAAATGCCTTCAAAGGCTCCCTAGGCACTTCAGCAGCCCCAGGGGAATGCCGTTCACTGTCAAAGTGACTCAGAGCAAAATGTTTTGATTCAACCCAACAAACCAAAATAAAATATTAGATGTTTTGTAGTAGCTGAAACAAAATTTTAAGATATTTCCAAACTAAAATTGCTTGGAACTTTTCATTGTAGACAAAATTATGATATTTGACTTATCACCCTGATGAAAATGTTATTTTAAAATATCACAAAGAAATTGTGATGGAAAGCAATATTTTTTCAACTTAATCTGCTAATGACATAATCTGAAGAGATTTAAAGTGGTTTATGGTGTCAAAACAACAGATCTGAGGAAGGAAAAGATCTAATTCCTTTGTTGTATATGAAATATTTAAAAAATGCAATTATATCCTAGAAAAGCATAACTAAGAACCTGATATTTTATGTTTTGTGCTTTCAAAAAGAGATCCACATAATACATAGTTACTAGTATGAGTAACCTTTAGAAGCTATACTTTTAGCAGGCAACTGAGTAGCCGCAAATAAGATTACTTATTGAATCAGTGATTTTGAATGAACAATTCACACTGAATAATGTCTGTAGCAATTTTTGGCTCTTTTTATGGTTGTGAATTGTCCTCAGACAGGTTATGAATTTTCTGAATTTATTTATCACTCAAACATATTTTCAGAATAATCCTGTGTATCTGATTTGCACACTATACAAATTCAATGTTCAAAATTCAAGCTGTTTCATTAGATTGGTAGTCATGTAGTATTCTTCTCTTCAAATACAGCTCTTAGTATTGGAGCTCCAGTGTAAATATTGAAAGTTAATCATTCAAAATCTGTTTTTTAAATACTCTTCACTATATGCTCAAAATTCTCCAAACATTTCTATTAATACACCTGTTAAAAAAATAGTTACAGAAAGCAAACAATATCCACCCCAAATCAACAGAATATATATTCATCAGTTAGATAATAGGAAACTTGGGTGACAAATGGATTTTAACATAGCAAAGGGGGAAACTATAATTGGTTATCTCCCATAGACAAAAATAATAATACTCCTATGCTTGACTATACATCTAGTGCTTGTTGGGTGTGATGCTGTTTCATATATATTTATATAAATCATATAATTTATATACAAGTATAAATATATTATATAAAATATGTATATTATTTATATACATATGTTTTACTATCCTTTAAAAAGCTAAATATTCTAAAAATCCAAATCTAAAAAATAATGAATGGTCACCTATAGAGGCAGTAATGTATAAAAACTGTTTGCTCTACTTTAAGATCTTGTTTGGTGAAATACATTTTTACTTGTTAATCAGCAAGCTGACATGGGAGGTACTGTATCTATGGTTCCCCTTAGAATATCAGGGAAGAATGTAAGGTTATTAACAGAACAACAAAATAAATAATTCAATTCAAGCCCTAGAGCTTATAGGTAAGTGAGAATAAGAAGCTCCGTCTACACTATCTTCACTGTCTTAACTTCAGTCTGGTGTTCTCTCACCTAAGCAATAGGTTAATAAAGCTCTGACTTCTATGATAACTCAATATCATAAAAACCCAACTTCTGCTACTTATAATATTTTTATACTGCATGTCAAGGCATCGTGTACATGGAGGGCTAAAAAGAGATTAAAAAAACACTTCTTAAAGATTTTCAACAAAAAAAGGATGAGCGCGCAATTCTTTGCACAAAGCATTAGAAAATACTGTGATATTTTATTATTAAAAATGCTGCTGAAAAGTTTATACATATGTGTCCAGCCATATATATCTTCTATCATTACTTAAGGCAAAAAACAAACAAAAAAATCGCAAAACAATAACAAAAGAAACCATTAAACCCTGCGTGCCTCTTAAGGTCAAGAATATACTGGGAAAGTTCTTTTTTTTTTCTTTCTTGTACAGTTTGCAAAGTATAATTTGTTCTCGTTATTATAGAATTCTATGAAGATCCTATAAATCTTTCCATTTATAAATCATACATCAGTTCAGATGTATTAAATGATTACGTTGACTTGATTGTAATCATTTTTAAAAGCCAAAATCATTCACTTACAGGAACTTTTTTACCCAAATGTCACAAGCCTGACACAGTACTGTACATATTGCTAGCAGAAAACAATTGGAAGTACTAAACAAATACTGTAATTCACATTACAAACATACCCAACTGGTTATGATGCAAAGCATCACTGCCTTTTAAATTATTTTTCTTTCTTTCTTTTTCTTTTTTTCTTTTTTTTTTTTTTTGTATTTTTATTTTTAGAGTCATGAACGGCTGCATCTCAGCTGAGGCAATATATAGGTGGCAGAAATGGCCTGGTATAGAGTCAGCTTTAATAAACATTACGGGATGTATCAGTGAAGAAGGCAGTTTTCTATTTGCTACTAGACATACTCCAGAATGTTGCTTCACTACTGTCCAACCTGAGAGACCAGGTCATATGTATAGCACATCTATCTTCTTACGTGTAAAAAATGATACTGGTTTCATGGTGGACTTTTACTATATTATTAACTCCCTTTTTCAGCTCTTTCAAAACCTGCTCCCAGCCAGCCACAGCAAGGAGCTGTACAGAACTCATATGTCACCTTTCATAGGCTGGCACTTCCAAAGTGTTTAATTTTTAAAAAAAGGGAGGAAAAAAAAGGTGCAAGGCATCTTGTGTTTTGTTCTGCGTGGGACAGACAATATGATACTGTTGCGCCCAGCTTCGAAGGGATATAGTAATAAAAAATAGATCTGGGACAGTCATGTTCAAGTGCAGAGCAACTCTGTTCAAATATCTTTGGTTCCAATCTCTGGATTAAATAGTTACTTTCTAAAGCAAAATATAAAGTAACTCTCATTTGTTAATAACTCACTTCTATCATTTAATACTTGAATATGTTGTTTAAAAGAAATTATAAAACTCCTTGTGGGACAGCCCTGTTTGCCCTTCCGGTTAAGGAGGGCAGAATAAACAATACAAATTTAATATTTTTTTCTGACAATGATGCTGTCCTGAATTTTCACATAAATGTACACAGACCCCATCAGTTCTCTCTCTAGCTCCCAACAATCTCTATTGGATATGGGACAGCTACACAACTGTCGAAAATACTGTTTTCTGACAGATGAACTCTTGATCATAAAAGCAGGATACTGAGGGGAAAAAGTGCTTTGTATAATGATAAATCATGACCGTTTTTAAAACCAAACCAAACCAAACCAAACCATTTTCCCCACCTTCAAACTGTATTTCCCTTTGTTTAGCAAAGCTGAGTGGGTGCTTCCTTAGCTCAAGCTCTTCTGCAGCTGCTGGTGAATATAGAGCTAGTATTCCTCAGAAAAGACTGACCAAAAGGCAGGCTTTCTTTGCTTCTGTCAGGGCAGCAGATTGGGAAGCAACTCTGCCTAATATATTAAAATAACCAAGAACTACAAAACTGGACTCTTTATATATATTTGTGATGTTTCTTGGTTCAATTCAACAAGCTTAAAACAAGAATTATTTTTCCATTTTCGGATCCATCTCTGTGTTGCAATTTAATGTACGCTAACAAAAAAGGAAAGAAAAGAAAAGGTTTCTGGAAACAAAAACAACCAACCATCTCCTAAGAATGCTTTAACATGCATTTGTGTAACCTGTAAGAGAAAATATGCAGGTCACACAGACAACTCTATCCTCTGCATGACACCATGTCCTTCTATAAATGAAACATGTTAGAAAAAACCTCATGTCTTTGCTTACCACTAGTAATTAAGAAGAAAGTCCTCCTTTTGGCCTGGAGGGAACAGAGGTGATATGACTAATGAATATACACATAGGTCACAACTGAATGCACAATCTTTCTAAAAGCTCTTTTGAAACTGAAAACATCAATAAAAGCTTATTTTTAAACTTACAGCTATGTACATTTTTTACAAAGTTTCTTTAAATATAGTTCAGGCTGGCAAGTCATCTCTTTGCACAGAACTATACGTGTTTTACTGCATAGTCAGTCCTCTTGTTTTTAATAATAAAATCCTATTTCTCCCTTCTGGATTGCAAGTTCATATGCTGGGTAAAAGCCCATGATGATGTCTTTATTTTAACAAGGGCCATTCATGGTATGGCACATAAAGAACTTTTGTTTTTAAATTTTTATTATTAAAAAAACTGTACAGTCACTGGCTCCATGTTCCAGAAGATTCTGTTTCTGATGGTTGCACTCAAAATCTCTTTTTAACTGATTTCTTCTGGCCTCAACTTTCAATCAAAGCGGTTGAGATCTTAAAGCAGTATCATAACAGCAATGTACACATTTCACATTTCACAGGGTTTGAAGCTGATCTTTAATATCAGAGTTCCTATGGAAAGGGTCAGTAAGAAAATAATGACTGTCCTTCTCTTTTACTGTTGTTTTATTATTATTATTCTGGCAAGTTGTTCTATGGAGAATATTTTTTTCCCTCTTCTTTTTCTCTTTTCTTCCAATTGGCTTGAGGGGTGAGAGAGGAATGGCAGAGCTATACCCTAGTAGTAGAATGTCCATGGGGCAAATTAGTACTGTTTTGTCCTCCACTGAAAGTGTTGAAAGTATGCAAAGGCTGCATTCCTGTTAATGTATTAGGAATCATGGTTATGGTGTTGGGTGTCATGAGTGGAATGTCATCTGGGGACCTCCTCAAAGTAAGGGTGTAGTCAGGTGGACAGGTGAGTCTCAGTGTGTCGTGTGCCTGCAGCGATTCACACTCATGGTCATGCTCCAGCTGTTTCATCTGCAATGACATAATCTCTTCATTTTGTATGTGCGCTATATCATTAGTTGTGTTCCTTTGAGGGCTGGGGCGCCTGTGTGTTTCGTGACGCCTCTTGTCTTTCTTGTAATACAGTGCAGCAAAAGCTAAAATGTTGAGGAATAGCAAGGATGCTCCCACGGCAATAGTGACGCTCAATTCTGTGGAATAATCTCGCTTGTTTTCTATGAGAACAGTTGTATCCTCTGGGGCAGTTTTATGAGTGTCTTTTGAATGTTTAGGATTGTTGGCTGGTGTCATTGCTGGACGTTTGGTGGCTGGCCACAGCTTTCCAGGAGATCGCCTGGTTACATAAGGAAATGATGTCATATCAGGAGGGGGAACTTTTGTTGTTGTGGAAACATACTGAAATATTTCATTGAGGTTGTGCAGGTGTGGTACAAGTTCCAACCAGAAGGCAACTTTTGTTGCTCGGTAGTGATCCCGGACTCTGGGTTTCAGGCCAATATGTAGGTACAGTTGATCTTTAGGGTTATACTTGGACCAGGCCACTTCTTCAAAACGGTTGGGTTTTGTATGAATAAACTTTGTGTCTTGTGGAACAGGCTGGTTTGGATCTCTACAAAGACAAAACAGAATAAAATAATAGCACACTTAATAAAAGTGCATGCATTATGCTTTATCCTATAATTAACAGAAAGTGAAATCAGTTACCTAACGAAACCCTGTAATAGGTGCCTTTCACAAACTTACAGACAACTTCTATCCAAATAAATCTGACACAGTAGTATTTCCTTCTATAAAAGTTGGAAAAAAATTACTCGATCCTACTCCTAGGATGCATCGGCACATACGCGTTAGTGTGCACTAGCTTATTTTACTGTGCATTAGAGTGTCCTGGTAAAAATGTGATAATATGCTAATGCTCAATCAAATTAGGCTACTGCTCATTAAGCATCACTAAAAAAGTGTGCACTTTTGTTACTGTGCGTTAAGGCAACCTAATGCACATTTAGTTAGTACCTCACATTAGAGGTACTAAATCTAGTGTGCAGTAGCAAAAGCACATTAATTAATGTGTAGATGCTCCCCTAGAAATGTGAATTGGAGCTGTGTAGTTGACTTCAAAGATTGGACTCAAAAGGTAAAATTCAGAGTGGCTGCCATGGTGAGTGTTTTGCATGTTTAGTGCATCTCAGGATTTGACTTCAGTAGGTCCCACAGTGTCTTTCAGTGTTAGCCAGACCTTTATTCAGAGGTGTTGTAAGTGTTGTAACCTTAGTCAAAAAGTTATGATAATTAACACCATCTCAGGATCTGTATATGTCTTTCAGGTTCATTTTCTGTAATATTCTGTAATACAAGAGATAAATCGGCAGTAATTTGTGACTTTTTTTGTGCTCTGATTTATGTAAGCATTATCCCTCCTTATTTAAACCACACTCTTAAGTAAAGAGCTTCTAATACATGGGTATGTGGCAAATCTTTCAATCACTTGCAGTAAGAAATTACTGCCTGAAAGAAGAGTGCTTAAATGCTACTCAAATAGTACAAAACACCTTGGGCCTGTCCAAGTTTTTTTCCTGCCCTAATCAGAATCCTTCCCAGTACTCATGTAAAATAGTTTCCAATGTTTTCCCCCATCGTAATA